CGAGGACTTCAAGAAGTGGAAGGAGTTTGAGCACATCGAAGAAAATTACGGAGACGGCTCAGCAGTTGCGAAAATTTTTGTGAAGGATGGCGTGGTTGTTCTGGCGTTCCGTGGAACAGACGACTATTGGGGGGGAGACTGGGACTACAATTACGACGATGAAGTAAAAACACGGACCGGCGTAGAGGTACACAAAGGTTTTTTGGAGTATATGGAGCTTCTCGAAAGAAGCATCAATTCTGAGCGGGAGGATCTCAGAAACAAGTGTGGTCTTAATCTCGACTTCGTGGTGGGGCATTCTCTCGGAGGGGCTGCGGCGACCCTCTACGCGGAATTTAACGATGAAGTTCTTGGCGAGGACGGGGACGGGAAGAATGGCGTGGTGACGTTCGGCGCGCCGCGGACGCACTGGGCGCAATCCAGGGCCTGCACGATCAAGGGCTTGCGCTTTTACCATCCCAAGGACATCGTTACCTCAATTAAGGGCTCGGACAAGTACCATCACGCGATAAAGGCTCTGAAGGTATCGATGGGGGATTACACACAGCGGCTTAATCAGAATTTCCCTGGCGACGACACGTGCGCATGCGACAACTCGTGCCACTGCAAGAACGACTCCCCCGACTCCTGCGCCTGCTTGGACTCTTGGTTTTGCATGAAACACGGGCTAGAGGATAGTTTCAAAACGGGCGACGGTTACTCGTCGTGGATCCCGGAAGACAAGATGTCGCTCCCCTTCTACAGCGGCGGCGGAGGCGGTGGCGCCGGTGACACGTACGACGACGACGCCAACTCTTGTCGGTACGCGAACGACGGCGAGTGCGACGAGCCGCGTGACTGCGATTACGGAACCGATACGAACGACTGCGCCAACGACTCTGGCGCAAGCTACTCCTATTCATACGACGACGCCAGGCCCACGCCCAGGCCCACGCCCAGGCCCACGCCCAGGCCCACGCCCAGGCCCACGCCCAGGCCCACGCCCAGGCCCACGTCGAGTTCGGAGTGCGAGTTCTACACGAGCAAGTCGAAGTGCAAGAAGAACAAGGCCTGCCTGTGGAAGAGGCGCGAGTGCATCGAGAAACCTCTTTGCGCGGACCAGACGAAGAAGGGCAAGTGCAAGAA